TGAATTCTAGTGTGATCATGGAAAATTTGGAAGGGTCGTGTAAACGACAAAAAATCGGTCCTTTAACAGTTAATGAAAAAACATTAATATTTAATTGTTTTAAATCATTTACAGACAAACATTTATGTAAAAGTGTTGATGACACAGTGGAACTAGTTAGTAGTACGTTTGGGTGTTGGGAAATCTACGATTTACAGAGTTGTTAAAGAAGAGAAATGTGGCGAGTTTCAAACAGCACGTAAAGCTCCAGGAAAACCAAAATTTCAATTAGAAACTCTTTTGAAAGAAAGACTTCGAAGGAAAGTGCATGCGTTCTTCTTTAGAAAAGAATTTCCGACAGTAGACAAAGTTCTTGCCACGGTTCGAGATGATAAGAATTACCCTGAAATGAGTCGAAGCACACTATGGAAACTTTTAAAAGAAATAGGTTTTCTATGGAAAAAGCATTCCAGAAAGTCTATTTTAATAGAAAGAAGCGATATTGTAGTATGGAGAAGAAATTACCTAAGGACTATAAAAGAAATGAGAAACCAAAGAAGAAATATATTTTATTTAGATGAAACATGGATCAACGAGGGACATAAACCAAATAAATGTTGGCAAGATGAAACTGTTACAAGTCGAAGACAGGCTTTTTTAAATAATTTATCTACTGGTTTAAATCCACCATCAGGAAAGGGGCGCATACTAATAATAGTACACATCGGTAGTTCAAACGGTTTTGTTAAAGGTGGTTTATTGACTTTTGAATCTACTCGTACCGGTGACTACCATGAGGACATGAATGCTGATGTCTTTAAAGAGTGGTTCGAACGAATTATAGATCTTCTTCCTCAGAACTGTATAATAGTAATGGATAATGCAAGTTATTACTCGAGCCTTATAGAAAAAATGCCCACAACCAAGTGGTTAAAAAAAGAATTACAGAATTGGCGAAATTCAAAGAATATTAAGTTCCATCCCGGTTCTGTGAGAAAAGAACTGTATCATTTGTGTTCCCTTCATAAAGAGAAATTCAAAAAATATGAAATTGATGAAATTGCAAAAAATCGTGGGATGACGGTGGTTAGATCATCACCATATCATTGCGAAGTAAACCCGATTGAACTGATATGGGCATAGATAAAGGGAGAAGTTTCAAGAAAAAATAATTCTTTTAAAATGAGTGATGTTAAACAGTTGTTTTTGGAGGCTGTAAATAATGTGAAGCCTGAAAACTGGGAAAAGGCAGTAAATCATACGATTAAAGAAGAAGAAAAAATGTGGAAGTTGGACAATATTACTGATAAAATGATCGAGCCACTCATTGTAAATATTGGTTGCGACAGTTCACCTTCTGATTTCGATTCTGATTTGGATTTGTAGGTAAGAAGTAGTTTTTATATTAAAATTATTATTTATGAACGTAACGTTGTTTAAAAGTCAAAGTTTAAACCCTTATATCTACATAACCCGTTTGACTCAATGTTCTTAACATACCTTGTGGAAAAATAAAACATTTTAGAAAAAATTGCACTTTTTACCTTCAGCTGTTTAGAATTTATAAGCAGGTTAATTAGGTGAAAATATAAGTGTATACTCGAGGAATAACTTCAAAAAATATTTTAACTGTCTACTAAAAGAAGTGATACGCCTATGGATTACGAACGCTTTATTATTTTAATACTCTCTCATACATAAAAATAGAATATAACAGAAGTTAATAGTAATAATTACAATAATTGTAATAAATTTCTACTTCTACCAACAATAGTAAAATATACTAAACATTGTAGTCTTCTTTCCTATTGTTGTACCATTTTATTCGACAATTCAATTGCTGCAATAATGAATAGTTTTTAACTACAAATTATAGTAAAATTTTCTACAAAAATTAAGTATATTTCTACAAGTCTACTACTACAACATTGTAGTAAAATTTTCTAGTCACTTTTTTTCCGTTTACTGCACTATTTACTCGTCCTTCAAAAAAGTGTGGCCCTATCACATAATCACCAACAATGCCACCCCAAACATTTATGACCACCTCATTTGGCTATGAGTGACTATAATGTGTGGGTTTGTTGTAGAATAATAGTGAAAATTATGCCTATTTAAACATCCATTTTTATGAAAAGTTGACTCATCACCAAAGAGCACAAAATCAAAGAAATTTCTTTGTTGATTAATTTTTTGTTGGGACCATTCACAAAATATCACTCTATTTTCAAAATCCCGTTCAAGAAGTTCTTGATGTAACTGGATATGGAAAGGATGCATTTTATGTTTTGATAGGATTCTTTGAACAGTTCCGTAATTGACTTGTTGTTGTCTTGAAATATTTCGTTTACTAATATGCGGATCATCATAAATACTCAACAATACTTTCATTTCATTCTCTTCTGTGATAGCAGTTTTTATAACTTGTTTTCGTTCGTATAACACAGTACCAGTACGATTAAAACGGTCCATTAGTTTTTCAAACGCCTTTTTATTTGGTTTTCGGCGTTCCGGATATCGTTGGTGGTACACTCTGGAGGCAAGTAAAGAATTCTTGTTGCACTCACCTAGTATATAAATCATATCCACCATTTCTGGGATAGAAAAATTGGTATTGTTTATCTTATTATTAGTAATTTACTTAAAACTTTAACGCACAGGCAGTTGCTCTTGATTTGTAAAATGTCAAAATTGTCAACTGGACGGTGACAGGTATATTAAATGTATTGGCAACTAGATAAAAAATAACACACATTATTTATTATTGTTTATAAAGAGTATTTTATGAAAAACTAGTTTAATTTATCGAAATAACCATAATTTTCATTTATTGTTAAAAAATATCGATAAATATTAACTTTAGGTATAGGGAATGCTTTATAAAAATGAAAGACTTGGAACTGATGATTTTACTGGTGATATAAAATAGAGGGTGTCTCATTTAAATAAAACAAGAAAATCAAGGGAGTCTCCCTGTATACAAATAAACAGATAATAAAAATATAACTAAAAAATATTATAAAATTCGTGTGGGTAAAACAATTTTTTTTTCTACAGTGTGTAATTGGCTGCTGAACGTTGAATTATGTACGATTCTGTCACAAAAATGTCAATTCCTTGAAAAGTACCCTATATAACATAGACAAACCATATATTAGAAGAATGGAAAAAAGATGAGTTAACAGAATCTAAAATAATATACTGGGGTTATCATTAAAACAAACATATGTTTGGTTCGTACACGAGCTATGCAACACCCTATATACCTCCCAATAATATTAAAATGTTAACCTCAAACATGTCCATAATTTTATTAATACACTTTTTTAATATCTCTTTCAACAAGGAAGATATCGAACTTTTCCACAAGATTGGTCCACCCTGTACATAAAAAAGTTTACTAATTTAAAAATTATGATCTTGATTTAAAAAAAAAATAAATGATAATTGTAATAATTCAAATAGTAATCACAGGAAAAAGTAGTAAATGAAGAAAAATTAAATAAACAAGTAGTCATTTTTTTATATAAAATATTCAAATATAATATAACAAATTGAAAATATCACTTCAAAAAAGGTGTATTGTTTTTCTTATTAAACTTCTGAAAATGTACTGTACGTAGAAAAAAAAACTGATTTCTCAGTGTAACGAAATTATACGAAAAACCAGACATCAAATTATCAACACTTGAAATTTCGTACCAAAAATAAATATTTGCCCATGAAATTATTGATCAACATATCAACAAAAATTTATTATATATATATTATCTAACAATTATCACGATTCTATCGTAAAATAGATGATAAAAGCTTTACCAGTTATAAGCAGTTTTAAGAAATAATTATTCCAGTCTAGATAAATTAACACTAGGCAGTAGGTAACTTACCTATCACTATAATTACAAGTGAACACCATATTCAAGGTTACTTTATTATATGAAAGGATATGCTTGATTAAGTCAAGATAATTTACTCAAATATTTTACTGTGGAAATTTATGAGACACATTATTGTTAACTTAATATTATTTGGATAAATTTAATAGAGATCCAAGATAAAAATAGTTAATTGTTTTGGTATGAAAGACTAGTTAACCAAATTAATTATAACAAAGCTTCATTTGCCAATGCAATAACTTTTCTGGAAAAAATAATAGTAGACCCAAATTGAATCACTAAGCGACTCATCCACTAGTTGCAATCAATTGAATAACTGGTATTTGCATCGGTGAATATTAAAAAATTAAATATTTGGCCAGTCAGTTTCTTTTTTCATGTTTTCATCATACAACGCAACAAGAAACTATGACCAGCATCTGCTATGCCATCTGGTTTGGCTTACTGAAGTTTGAACATACCAGTGATATTATTCAGATAAGCTGACCAAATTTTAATTTCCATTTATTAAGGATAGATGAAATTGTGTTTCAAGTTGGTGCAAGAAGATGCTGCTTTGTTATAGTGCTAGAGCTGTCAACAGAACTAGGATGTTAAAGTCTTTACCAACGATGAAAACTGTTTCAAATCAAATAATAATGTCTTATGCATCTTGATGGCACTATAAGCCATCTGCGCTTTAGTGTGCCATTCGAACCCCAAGAGGAGGGAAAGCAGGCTGGACCCTAAACCTAATTGAGGGAAACCTGATTGGGGGGAATCTGCCGGAACCCCTAAGGGGGAGCAGAGGGATGCCTAAAAGAGTGCGTGTTGTGGGTTTATTTTAAAAAAATCATTAGTCAGATAATTTTTATAATCACCGCTATTCCTTGTTAGTTATTGGACTTAATTTTTACCACGTAGTTTAAAAAATGTTAGAGTTAATGTTAAATTTTTACCTATTTACTGACCTATAATTCACAATAGGCAAAACAATCATTGGTATCATAATTTGCACTCATGTGTTTAGGATATGGAAGAAATTTAGTTTCAATATTTAGCATTTTAAATTGTAATTACAAATATTTACAGTAATGTTCTATGTATATAGCAGATTTAATTAAATAGATATTTTCTTTACAGAGAAATTGAAAAAGCCATCGACAAACTCAGCAGAAATCACCTTAGACACATTCAAGCCTACGATCCCAAAGGAGGAAAGGACAACGAACGTCGTCTTACTGGAAGACATGAAACTTCTTCTATCCATGACTTTAGTGCAGGTAAATTATATTCTTTTTAATAAAATAGAGAGCATTACCATCTTTACAGCCCAATAGCACGTAGTTCAGACCATAACACTATGGATTTTTTCTTTTGGAGGTTTCTTCGAACAATAGTTTATAAAGAACCAATAAATATGCGTTTCAAACCTTGACGAAAAATAATAAATGCTGTAGATGTATTCAGAAATGATAACATTCTGTCAAGTTTTTGATATCTCAATTTATTTTAACTCAACCTTTACAATAACTACACAACTGATAACATTAGAGAGTTATTGCAAGTTCACTTAAGGTCAGTCACTATTAGTGCCGCTCTTATTTTGACATCTGAGCATGCGCAGATCACTAACTTTAATAAAAATTGTGCCTGTCCTTAATAGAGAGATATTGCAAATTTCTATAAAGCCAGCCACTAAACTTTAAATCATAGTTCATCTTTTTTGTTGTCTATAATATTAAAGAGGCATTAGAGATTATAATTTTAGAATGTTTAAATGATGATTATATTAAATATTTAATATTAAAAAACTTCTAACGGATACGCATGTCGACGAGCGCATCCGAAAACTATAACGTTGCCACTACCTGCTGCCCTTAAACATCCACAATTAAGGACAGGCACAATCCTTAATAAAGTCAGTTTTAGAACATAAACATCTACGCATGCTTAGATGTCAAAATAAGAGCGGCACTAATAGTGACTGACCTTAAGTAAACTTGCAATAACTTTCTTATTAAGGACAGACACAATCTTTATTAAAGTTAATGATCTGCGCATACTCAGATGTCAAAATAAGAGCGGCACTAATAGTGACTGACCTTAAGTGAACTTGCAATAACTCTCTATTAACATATAAGTCTATCATTAAACTGAAAACTGACGTCAGGATCATTGCCTTATACCTTTTCGAACCTTCTAGAACTGTCTAGATTTTTCTTGACGTGGAATGACATTTCTCGTATATTCTCCCTTCTTTTACTCGTACCTTTACTTATGATGACCGCAGAATGCAGACAAATTATTTTTTGTTAGCTTACAAAAATTATTCGTGAAAAAACACTGTCGAACGTCTTGAAATCATTTGAAATGCCAATGATCAGTCTCGGATGGGACCGTAGCTTTACCGGACCAAAAACCGGTAGGCCCTCGTTAAAGCTGTGGGTCCTCGATCAGACAGTGGGCCCCCGTTCAGACAGTTAGTCTTCGTTCAGACAGTGGGCCCTTGAGAAAAACAAAGAATCAAATGCGAAGAAGCCCTCTAATATGTGGCAACCTCGTAAAAAGCATCAGTGTGCAAAGACTTTTCTTGCTCTTCAAATGAATCGGACCATGAAAAAAAATATAGGTGGGCCCTTCTCCTTCCTAAAACGGTAGCCCCTGGTGGTCCCAATTCTACACTGCCAATGATTATTTTTTAAATTCTTTTCATCTTGGATGCAAACAAATTGTTTTCTAGTCCTTTCTGAAACATAAACACATATGAGCTCTAGTTTACAAATTTTCTCTATTCCCTTTATACATGATGTAATAAAGACCTATATCATGTATTTTGGAATAAAAAATAAGTCGGTTAAACTTGTATACAAAAGTGCTTACAGAAAGTTATATATAGCCTTTTGGAAACTGTTAAACAATTAGTCATGAAAATTGGGAACAAGTGAAGACAGAGTTGGACTCGTTAACAAAAAAAGGCATTATTATACAAGCTGAAGAGTCTCCTACCGATTTTGTCAGTCCACTTGTCATTGTACAAAAAAATATGGTAAACTTAGAGTCTGCGTTGATTTTACAAAGCTTAATCTTTTCATTAAAAGACCTGTACATCCCTTTAAATACCCATGGGAAGCAGTATCTAACATCAATGGCAACGCGAAGTACTTTTCGTTTCTAGCCATGGAAAGTGGATATTGGCAAATACTTCTAGACAAAGAGAGCCAAAATCTAACAACGTTTTTAACTCCCTGGGGACGATATAATTTCTTAATCAGCTCTTTAGATGAATTTTGCAGACGAGGAGATGAGGCTTTATCAGATATCCATAATATCGAAAAGGTTGTCGATGACATATTAGAATACGACAACACGTTTTCAAATTATTTTAAAAGAATAATCAAGCTAATAGAAAAATGTAGACTTAACGGAATTACATTAAATTCAAATAAATTCGTCTTTGAAAATCTAAAATTAAGTACGTTAGTTATATAATAGGAGAGAATGCTATTGAAGCTGATCACAAGAAAGTTGAAGCAATCCAAAAATACCCGAAACCTACGTGTCTGAAGGAACTTCGATCATTTATGAACATGGTTAATCAGATTGGAAGCTTCTCTACCGAAATCAGTGCATCTGCAGCTTCTTTGAGAGATTTATTGAAAATAAGAAATCAATATACTTGGTGTCTAAAACATGATGAAGCATTTAATAATATTAGAAAAACTCTTATAAAGCTACTGATACTAGCTGCCTTTAATCCAAATTACCAACCGCTTTTACATGCAGATGCTTCACGATTAAATGGTTTGGGATACGCACTGCTTCAGAGATATGGAGACATCTGGAAATAGATATAATGCGGTTCCCGATTATTTTCTGATACTGAAACGAGATACGCAATGATAGAGATCGAATTACTAGCAAAAGTTTGGACTATAGAAAAAATGTCGATTGTATTTACTAGGCTTAAAAGTAGTTACTGACCACAAGCCATTGGTTTCAATTCCAAATTCGTATACATTATATATAATAGAAAATCACAGAATTCAAAGATTATAAAAAAATTATGTGGTTGTTATTTAACAGTAGAATGGACAATAGGACTAAATTACTTGATCCCAGACGCGTTGTCACGATTTCCTGTAAATATACCTAATGAAGATGAACTCTTCGAAGAAGATTCTACAGTTCATGTTAATTCTTTTGTCATACAACAAGTGGCATTAATAGATAATACTAAAGAGTTATCTAGAAAGTAATCTCCAAGATTTTTGTTGGAATTCTTGAAAGAATCAGCATCTAAAGAAGAACATACCAGAAGTTAATTGCGGTCGTAAAAAAAGGTTTTCCAAATCAAAAGGACCAGCTTGACTTTTCGCTTAGGCCATTTTGGAATATTTGGAATAATCGAAATGAGCTATATTATAATAATGATTTTGTCCTGAAAGGATGTCAAATTGGCATACCTGTGTCTTTAAGAAAAATGGTGATTCACATCAGGGTATAGAGAGAACAAAACGCCGTGCAAGACAGACAGTATACTGGCCAAATATCAAAAACGATATTAAAAATATGATAGTCATATGAAATTTGTTAGACAATTAGACCTTCCTTACAAAGATAAATATATTTGGATGACCCACCTCCTATCCTTCCTTTTCAAGATGTTTCAGCAGATCCGTTTTCGTATACTGGTAAAAAATACTTGGTATATGTGGACAGACTATGCGGCTGGCCAATAATATGTCATTATGGAAATAGGAACCCAAACAGCACAATGTTAGCAAATGATTTAAGAAAAATATTTTGCGATACTGGTGTACCTCTGCGATGGCGATCTGACAATGGCCCGTAATTTAGTTCCTACGAATTTAGTTCATTTTCAAAAATTGGAATGTAGTTCATTGTATATCCAGCCCATATTATCCACAAAGCAATAGACACGCTGAGGCTGGTTTAAAAGCCATGAAAACATTAATGTACGAAATGTGGCAAATTAGATGACCACCAATTTTGTGCAGTGGTACTGGAATGGAGAAATAGTCCAAAATCAAATGGAGTATCTCCAGCTCAGCTTTTATTTGGTCACCCTATTGGGACTTTAGTACCCACACATCAAAAGGCATTTGTGAAAGAATGGCAGGTTGCAGTAGACATGACAGAATAAAAAGAACCCAGTGCGACAAGGAAATTTACTATTATAATAAAACGGCTAGAGTTCTGGCGCCACTAAAGTTGGATCTAGGGTTAGAATTCAAGACCCAAAGAGTAAATTACAAACAAGGATATATAGCTGAAGTCAAAAGCACAAGAAATTACCTGAGAAAAACCGTAAGTGGACGTATATATTGCAGAAATAGGAAATTTATTCGAAAATACATAGAACGTGGAGATGTATATACAGTGGAAAAATACTTGAAGGAGGATTTGGTGATACTATATACTGCAAAAGGGATATACCCCTAGGGGGTGAAGGGCTGTCATTAGTTTTGTGATAGTTGTCATAACTTGAAATAAAGATAATTTAATTCGAAGTTGTTGTAACAATCACTTCAAAAATAGATTTGGGATTTAGAGTAAGAGAAACTTTGCAAGAAAAAATAGTGCACTCGTAAAATGTTTAAAGGCGCTAAACCCCAAACATTTGTTTACTCTAAAAATGTTATGATTGTGCCAACATTAATTTAACACATTCATTTTGATACTTTTCAAGTAAAAAAATGTTAACAGAAGTTAAGATAATGATTTTATACCAACAATTAATACTTAATGCTTTGTATTATAAAAAATTTCATTATCCAGATTGCAATTCTTACGCGGAGTCACTCTATCGCAGTCTGCCGCATTTAAATTATATTCATTGATAGAACCGCGTTAACTCAATGATGTTCAAATTACATGGAGCCAGAGTACATGGACGTAATTATCCTGCACCACCCCGGCGAGATATGACTCTACAGCAAGAATTCGCAGTAATTTGTGAATATTTATCTTTTCTTTTCCTCCATGTTGTGAATCTGTAGGTAAAGTTTTATGTTACTTTGCAATTTTTGTAATAATTATAGAAATATCTGCGTCAATCCATAATGCTGCTGTTATACAAGGAAGCGATATATCAGAGAACGATAAAATTTTGAGAAAGAGTATGATTTCTTGATCGTAGTAGAATTTTTACAAACAAATAAAGCTTCTTTGGTAGTATCGATCGATTATATTTTATCTCAGCACTACATATTTTTCCAAATTAAAATCCCATCTTCTGGTGAAGTCGTAGTTTTGTTTA